TACAGAATTGTGGTGGTGGTCTCTGAGGGTCGTTTACTTCTTCCAACAATCTTCATCACTTCTGGCAGCCTTTGAAGCACGCACAGTAGATGCTCATACCAGTTTAATTGGTTCGTTAGCACCAGAGACATAATAATCCTCCTATCCTCCTACTTATCAGTTAGTTTAACTGTAGCCCATCCTGGACACCTGCGGTTCCCAGATACTCCTTATCCCTGTGTCCTGTTCTTCTAGGCTGTTTTTGTTAAAATTATGCCAACTATAACGATTCATCTTGTGAGAATTCGCAGTATATTCTCTAGCTGTACTCTATTTTTTTCTATGTATCATGCACCTCAATAATTTTCCATTGCTACTGTTACAAAGCCATCAAACTTAATATTACTTAAAACTGATTCTAAAGGTTTTTATATATTCCATTTTGTGATTTTGTGCCCCCTTGTCTCAGATCAGCAGGATACGCTCAACCGTTAATTTCCCCATATGGCCAATACTAAAATCTGATGGAGAGTGGTGACTAACAGTAGATTATTGTGGCCTGAGTGAAGCTACTCCACCGCTGAGTGCTGCCGTACTGGACATGCTTGAACTTCAATATAAACTGGAATCAAAGGCAGCCAAGTGGTATTCCACAAGTGATATTGCCAATACATTTTTCTCAACCCCTTTGGCAACAGAGTGCAGGTCACATTTTGCTTTCACATGGAGGGGAATACAGTACACTTGGTCCAGTATTGGGTCCAGTGCTGCTTTGTCAGTGACATGGACAATGGGGCTGAGTGCACTCTTTTCAAGTTTGGTGATGACACCAAGTTCTGTGTGCTCTGCTGACAGGCACGGTATGCCACAAAATGACCACACGCCAGCTGTATAATATGTAGAGTTTAGTAAACAAGCACACTAAAGCGAATAAGCACATCAAAGCAAACAACACTAGCGTGAATCAGTTATACACCTATATATATATAATAAATAAGTACAATAAAGCAAATCATATATGTATATATGAGTAAAGTACAGAGGAAAATTAGCAATGCAACAACTCATTACTGCATAGAGACAGCAGAGATTAAGAAGAAATACATCACAAATTACCACTGAATCATCATCCAGGCCTACACTTCCTGCTGGGAAACCCCATTGAAGGTAATTGGGAAAATTCCTACATAGTGCATCCACCCATAGGCGAGTCTTTGTTTTCGGCCATTAGAAGCTCCCGCTTTTATACCTTTATAAAAACAACCAGCTTTATGCCAGATCTGTCATTGTTTATTCATGGGTCTGTTCAGTTTCTTGCACTTGCACTGCTGTCCACGCTGAGAAGTGTTGGTCAGGCACGCTGGTGTGGCCAAGTGTGAAGGTCATAGAACAGCTGCACCCTCATGTTTTCCTACCTCTTTCCAACAAACACTCATTATATACATAAACATATATACTACACCAAATGCACTTTGACAAAAACATGCTTTGTTATGTCTCTCAGTCATGAGAGGGAATCAACTCTCAGACAGATTCCAACCCATTAGTGTGATGCAGTTGACACACTGGAGGGAAGGGATGCCATCCAGAGGGATCTTGACAGGCTCAAGAAGTGAGCTAGTGCAAACCTCATGAAGTTCATCATGGCCAAGTGCAAGGTCCTGCACCTGGGTTGGGGCAATCCCAAGCACAACTACAGGCTCTGTGGAGAATGGATTGAGAGCAGCTCTGAGAAGGACATGGGGCTCTTGGTTGATGGGAAGCTCAACATGTGCCAGCAGTGTGTGCTTGCAGCCCAGAAAGCCAACTGTATCCTTGGCTGCATCAAAAGCAGCATGACCAGCAGATGGAGGGAGGTGATTTACCCCTCTACTCTGCTCTGGTGAGACCCCACCTGGAATACTGTGTTCAGATATGGGGCCCCCAACACAAGAGGGAAATGGACCTGCTTGAGCAAGTCCAGAGGAAGGTCATGAAGATGATCAGAGGGCTGTAACACCTCTGTGAAGACAGGCTGAGAGAGTTGGGCTTGTTCACTCTGGAGAATAGAAGGCTCTGGGGACACCTTATAGGTGCCCTTCCAGTACCTAAAGGGGGCCTACATGAAATCTGGAGAGGAAGTTTTTGCAAGGGCATGTAGTAACAGGACAAGGCGGAATAGCTTTAAGTTGACCCAGTGTACATTTAGATTAGACATTAGGAAAAAAAATCTTCACTATAAGGTGGTGAGACAATAGAACAGTTGGCCCAGAGAAGTTGTGGCTGCCTGATCCCTGGCAGTGGCCAAACCCAGGTGGGATGGAGCTTTGAGCAACATGGTCTAGTGGGTGTCCCTGTCTGTGGCATGGGTTTGGAAACAGATGACGTTTAAGGTCCCTTCCAACCCTAACTGTTCTATGATTCTATGACGACTGACCCAGGGGTGGAAACACAGCCCTACCATCTGCCATAGACTGATCCAGACTGCACTGGAACATGGGAAAGCTCCAGAACTCCTGCAGTATATTGATGACATCATTGTGTAGGGTGATACACAAGTTTTTGAGAAAGGGAAGAAAACAATCCAAATCGACACTCAGTGGCTCAACCTCCACCTCTCACTGTGATTGGCCAGCAGAGTCCAGCAAGTACCACCCTGGGGTGCTTGGCTAAGGCAGTGCCATCTCTGGAGGCTGAATCTCTGCCTGGGTAGGAGGACACAGACAGCTGCCGTTGGAGCTCCCACTGCTGTACCTGAAAACAGCTCCCTCCAACCCTGGTTCCACAGGGCCGGCCACCCCTTCCCACCTCCCAGGAGACCAAGCCTGGGCCTCATTGTCACAGTGGCTCCTGCCAACTGCCTGCCATTTGATGCCCTCAGGCAGCTTGCCATTTGCCTGTCTCGCTCTTCCCCTCATGTGGCAGGGTTGACCTCCTGCAGGTGGGAGACTGCATGGCCACTGATGACGGGGCTGGCAGCCAGGATTGCTCATGCTCCCATCATGTAGTGGCTGCCTTAGGCCAGTGGACAAGATGTGTTAGGAATACCTTCCCATTTAGTTACAAGGTTCAGAAAAGACCTCTTGCTTTCTAGCTGATCATCAGATATTTAGAGGGGCTGGGTGTGGCTGGAACCAATCCTAGTCTCAGGCTTGGTCAACAATTTATGTCTAAAGGGTTGTGTCACCTTCTTGTCCAAATTTGTCCTGCATGCCAATGCTGTCACATTACAAGGGGGGTTTCCTTGAACCCTTTATATTTGACTAGCCTGCCAGTTTCCCAAGAAAGATGAGACCCTTGTGCTTGACCAGTCTGCATTCCAGTACTCAACTCTATGACAGCCCACCAAATCGGAGGGTAATTCATCTAACCTATTCAGGGACCTTCACTGACAGCGTCACCGAGTCAAATCCCTTATTTAAATTATTCAAGTTTCTGGAGACTTACACAAAACAGACTTCAGCTGAAGATTTTTATTATACAAAATACAAGTTTGTGACAGGATAAGGTTCAGAGATTGCTGGTGATAAGATACCATCTGCAAAAACAAGCTTGAAGTGATACACAACCAAACTATAAATACTAATAACAGCTAGCATGAGCTAGTCATTTGGCATGCATAATAAAAAGTTCTTACCCAATAAATGTCCCTATGCGGGAGAAGACAAGTTCAGCCTGTCAACTGATCCCAGAAGTTATGATGGAGTCTTCTCTAACTCCTCCCCTCTTTCATTCACTTTTATACTTTTCTTTAATCTCAGGTGGAGCTTGAGTGACTCTAGTCATGCATTCTTTTATTATTGATTGATGTAAAATTCTCTCACTTTTATCTTAAAGATATAGCTGATAAAATAGTACATGCTCAGTGAGGAGTGGTTGTACCTTGGAGGTGGGTAACTTTGGGATGGAGGTGTGCATTAGTATTGCAATGAGATTATAATGAGCAAGGTTCGCCTAAGGAAAGTGATTTTACCACAGTTGCTGTCCCAGCAACGGACATCTCTTATATTTTCCATTTGACAGCTGCTATGTGGCTTATGATCTGCATAGTACCATCAAGTTCCCAAACCTGCAGGGAGTACAACAGAGCCTGGCCACAGCGTATCCACTCCGTTCCACCCTCCATTGCTCCTCTAAGATAGCAGGTTGTGTCGCTTGGGGAAATGTGGTGGAGTAGATTCCGTGCATGCCAACCGTCCTGAAAATGACAACTGTATTTCACCCTAAAAAGGTTTCTTGTAATATTACAACTTCTGTTAGGCCCCAGTTTTCTCTAACACCCCCTCCCCCCCAAGTGATTTTCCCATACACTACACTCCCACTCAGGCTCAGCAGAAGTCTAGATGGAGGAAGCACTGGGCACAACAGCAGAGCACTGTTTCTCGCCTACCAAATTTGCAAGTTGTCACTGTGTCAAATGTCAGAATTTAATTTAGAAAAAACCAGAAACTCGATACCATATAGACAAGTCTTCTCTATATTTATGTTTAAAAATACTAATTTTCAAAAATGACAATTTATAAATGAAGAGTCTGCTGGTAGCTTTCTTCCAGCTCATGCTTACCACAGATTCTACTGGGCTTTTCCTATTTTAAAATGTCCCTTTTAGAGTGTCTTGCTGCCTCCACATGGAATCTGTTTCCTCCTTCACCCCCCAAATTTAATGAAAAAATAATAATAATAAAAATCAGTAGCTGACAATTTTAAGCAAAAATATAAAGCGCTATAACATTACCTACATTACCTTTTACTGAACTAAGCTTTTGAACACCCTAGGAGTTTTGTGAAAATTTAACCAGTGTTGAAAAGGCACAGGATTTTTGTGCTCTGAGACTTCCAGCAGCAATGCTTTTTCCCCACATATTGCCAATGAAGATGTTGAACAGCTCTGGTCACAATACTGACCCCTGAGGAATGCCACTCGTCACTGATCTCCACTTGGACATCAAGCCGCTGACCACAGTTATTTGAGTCTGACCATACCCAGATGATGCAACAGTGATACAAGCTATTAATTATTAAAATCCTCACAAAGCTGTCCATGTCTGGTAGTTTTTGTTCCATAGTATATCATGAACGGGTAAGCTATTTTTCACATAGAAGTTTAGTTGTACATAAAGATAACTTTGGTCCAAAGGACAGCATATTGGAAATGTGACCACTGAGAGTTCAAAAATCAATGTAAAAGATAACAAAAATAATTGGGCATTTCATTCCTAAATCTGCACAGTGTGGTTGTCCTAGTAATTTGCCTTTTCATTCTGTGTGTCTGCTAACTGTTGAGTTTTTAAGACTTCAGCTTGTTCATGATCTTCCTTATCCACATCATCTACATGACTAGATACCTTTTCTTCTGCTTCTCCTTGATCAACACTTCCATATTCTACTTGTTCCAGGTCTGTTCCACTTATAAGTTCGGCGTGTACATCTTCCACCTGTATTTGATTTACATGCTCAACATGTAACTGATCTACGTGAACTTCAGCACTTTGCTCAGTCTGAATATGTTCAACTTCCAAATAACTAATTTGCACCTGTTCTTGCAGTTCATCCACCTGTGTGCCTTTTATTAGATTGTCCTGTATGACCTCCTGGTGCATCTGTTCCACAGTTACCTGTGCAGGATCCACTTGTACCTGAATTATTGGTAGGACATGGACTTGCTCCAGTTGTTCTATTATAGTCATTGATGTTACTGGTTCAGCTTCTACAGCTTCCACTGGAAGAACCTCTTCTGTCACTATTTGTTCTGAAATATTGTGCATGTCTTTGAGATGCCTTCTCAGCTCACTGCCTTGCATAAACCACAAATCACATAAGGTACAGTGGTTGGGTTTGTCACCGGTATGTATTACCAAGTGACCTTTGAATTGATCCCAGC